AATGGCGCAGGAACGCCTTAGAGGGCTGGCCATCATCAGTGTGAACCATGCAGTGTCTAGGGAGTTATCGTATGACGATGTAATCGACGAATTCGCTTCCAGGAAGTCAAGAAGAGTCAAGTTATAACTGTTATAAGCAGGCACGTAGTGAAGAGGAGAAAACGGCGGAATTCAGAATATCATGACATATGTTAATTGAATTGCTTATTGTTTAAATACAATGGTAGTTTAATTTTGAGTGTTTATTACAGTCATTTTTCATGCCATTATTTTATGTTGCTTGTTTTTGCTTTTCTTTGGATATTCCAGAGTTTAAGAGGATTTGCTATTTAATGTATGTATTAGCAAATTAAAATAGATCAGTGTAAGGTAAACAGTTTCTTCAATACAGTACCTTGATTACTTTGTGGGCAAACCCAATCGTGAAGTGGGAGGCGGGTAGGGGCGCCAGCTGCAGTCCTGCTAAGGGCGCCAAATAGGCTGGCGCCGGCCCTGCCTACAGTTATTATTTTGTTGCTACACCTTTCTAATGGGCCAGTTTATCTAGCGCTTCTTCGCAAATACACATTCTCACTTTTACCTTACTGTAGTGACCACCTTACTGTAGTGACCACCTTACTGTAGTGACCACCTTACTGTAGTGACCACCTTATTGTAGTGACCACCTTGCTGTAGTGACCACCTTGCTGTAGTGACCACCTTACTACAGTGACCACCTTACTGTAGTGACCACCTTACTGTAGTGACCACCTTACTGTAGTGACCACCTTACTACAGTGACCACCTTACTACAGTGACTACCTTACTACAGTGACTACCTTACTACAGTGACTACCTTACTACAGTGACTACCTTACTACAGTGACCCCCTTACTACAGTGACTACCTTACTACATACATGAGAGCTTGTGTCAGTAGTGTGACCTCTCTCTCACACACACACACTCACATACACTGACCATCACCACGACCTCATCTGCAAATTTGGTAAGAAGCTTCTACACCATCCTCGACACCGGTTCCTACTACCACCTGAGATCCCTAGCCCGAGAATTGCTGTTCGACACCACAACCGCATCCAGTCCATACGTTCACGAACTGATCGCTATAAGAACAGCCCAGTCCCAAGCATTGTAAAAATTATCAATAACTTGTAAAAACCAGTGTATTCACTCCCAGTAAATACTACTTCTTGCACTGTCACTATGTTGAAATGCACTGTAGTTTGAGCTTTTCCCCATCTAGTTATTATATATCTTATTTGAATCACTTATGTTACTTGTATATTATTTGTTATTCGAAACCCATTCCCCAAATATGTAATTGTATATTTTCAGCCTTCTGGCTGCCAAGCTCTTTCAATAAACCGTTAATTATTATTATTATTATTACATAGATACACACACACACACATCTCAGAGTCAGCTAGGTGACTGCCTGGCTGGACTGTGTGGTGTCACCCAGAGGATGGCTTGAGTGTGGAAGGAGCTATTTTTTTTTCATATAATATGTGCTAGTGTAGTATGTTAGTGGAGGAAACATGAGAGATGGAGCTTTATTACAAGACTTCTTCAGTCATGTTTCCTTCACTACCATTTGTCCACAATGAACAATGTTCAGGTACTATTGTATTTTATGGGGGACCGGTGGTAAAGTGGTACCGCTCTTGCCTTCGCAAGCGAGATGTCACGGGTTCGATTCCCGGGCCGGTGGAAGTTGTTTGGACATACTTCCTAGCCCCCATTAGTGCCTTTTCACCTAGCAGTAAAGTAGGTACCTGCTGTAAGTCGAAAGTTGCGAATTCGTATTCAGGGACAAGTTGTTGGAGCCTCCAATAACTTGATGACATAAACCATTGACTCTTCAGGCTTCTACGCCCTTAACGCATGAGACATAAAGGCAAGCGTGAACTTAGCATGCTTCCCTGTTGGGCACTGTAAATGCTTCTGCATTTCACCTTACACAAGGATGTAGGGGAGTGCCCAATAAATAATAATAAAAAAATATATATATTTTATGGTATGTTATGTATCATTTTTTTTTTGACATGAAATTTTAAGTTTGTTTGAAATAGGCTCACATTTTGCTCACCAAGTAATTTAACTCTGAACCACATCATTTATATAGAAGTTTGTTGTCAATAAATCAATCGTTTAACTTAAAAACAGTTTATAAAAAAACTCTTATACAGTGACCCCTCGTTTAACGAACACCTCGGTTAACGTAATTTCGATTAACGAACTGCCTTCCATAAGGATCTTCAATTCGGTTAACGAAAAAAAATTTCGCTTAACGAACTTCTTACGAACCGACCTCAACATGTTTTCGCTTGCACTGACCGGGCAACCAGCTTTAGTATCAGTCCGCCAATACATTAATCGGTTCTAGGGCTTAAATTCCTTACTATTTTTGTAAATATCAAGAAGTTTATACTATTCAATTATTTTAAAAGTTTAATATTCAATTTTTTAGTCATTTTAACAATTATTGAACAAAATTGAAGGTAAAGTGACTAGTTTAATGCGCGGCATCCAGCCTCTTAACACAGCAAACAGGCGTCAGTCTCTCTCTGTTTTCACTGGAGGTAACATCTTGCTTGAGACTCTCTTCAACTAAACGCTTTTTTTCTGTGTTTCCAAGCAAATTATTGGTCATTTTGAAAATTATTTTACATATTGACAATATATAGTGCAGTGCAGTGTTATTTTAAAGAAAATATTCTTTATTTACAGCTAGTTTAACTTTGAAAAATACGTGTTGCCATTGTTTGAATCCAGCATGGGGCCTAAGAGATCAAGAAAAGTGATTTCAATCCAAATGAAGCAGGAAATAATAAAAAAACACGAACAAGGTATTAAATCAAATGCGCTATGCAAAGAATATGGCATGTCGGCATCAACTGTGTCGACAATTCTTGCACAAAAAGACAAATTTAAGGAAGTGAACGTGAGAGACAAATCTACAAGAGTGTTTAAAAGTAGATCCCTAATCGTAGAAACTGAGAGGTTACTTATCATCTGGATTAGGGAAAAACAGATGAAAGGTGATTCAGTTTCTGGTGATTTCATTTGTGAAAGAGCCAGGGAGATTTATGAACATTTAAAGACAGATCAACCTAGTTCTTCAGGAACAGAATTTGAAGATTTTCGGGCTAGCAAAGGCTGGTTCGAAAAATTTAAGAAAAGAAGTGACATTTTAAGTGTTGTTAGGCATGGTGAAGCTGCTAGTGCTGATAAAGAAGGGGCAGCAAAGTTTTTAATTGAATTTAAAAAACTGATGGAAGAAGAAAATTATCTTCCACAGCAAGTGTTCAATGTTGACGAAACTGGGCTGTTCTGGAAAAAGATGCCCAAAAGAACATTCATCACCAAGGATGAAGCCTCTTTACCTGGGCATAAACCCATGAAAGACCGTCTCACTCTATTGCTTGGTGCCAATGCTTCAGGGGATTTCCGACTGAAGCCTATGCTTGTCTACCACTCTGAAAACCCCAGGGTGTTCAAGCAACAGAAAGTGGTAAGAACAATGCTTGGAGTTTATTGGAAGTCCAACCGTAAGGCATGGGTGACAAGACAGTTCTTTAATGAATGGGCTATTGATGTGTTTTGCCCCTCTGTCAAGAGCTACCTAACCACCAATAAACTTCCTTTAAAGGCTCTTCTCCTCATGGATAATGCTCCTGGTCATGACCCTGACCTTGCCAGAAATTTGGAGTATAAATTTGACTTTGTGAAAGTGTTGTTTTTGCCTCCAAACACTACATCACTCATACAGCCAATGGACCAGAATGTGATCAGCAACTTCAAGAAGTTGTACATGAAGAAAATGTTTAGGAGGTGTCATCAGGCAACTTCCATTGATCCTGAACTAACACTGAAACAGTTCTGGAAGACACAATTCAACGTCCTGGAGGCTGTAAAATTGATTGTGTCATCATGGCAAGAAGTCTCCAATAGAACCCTCAATTCTTCATGGAAAGCACTGTGGCCATCAGTAGTCCATGATTTTGAGGGATTTGAGGATGACACAGAGTTGGACCAGGAGATTGTGTCCATTGGTCAGTCATTGGGTCTTGAAGTGGAGGAGAAGGATGTGGAAGAGCTTGTGATGTCTCATGAGGAGGAACTTACTCCTAATGACTTGAAGGAACTGGATGAGATGTTACGGGTAGAGGCTGACAGTGGTGAGGAGGAAATTGAAAGTGATGACCATATGTCAGCTAAACAGTTGAAAGATGTGATTTACCACTGGGAGAAGTTCAGGGAACTGGCTTCAAAGCACCCAGAAGTGGAAAAAACTGAACTAACTTTGTGTCATGTTGAGGACTCAGTGGTCTCCTTCTTTAAACATAAGTTAATGGTGAGGAGGACAGATGCCCCACAGACCACAATTGACACTTTCTTCAGTAAAAGGCAGAGGGAACAAGATGCTAGCCCTCAGCCTTCCACTTCAAGAAGGAGAGAGGATGTTCATGGTGGAGAATCTGTCAGTCCAGAGGTTCCTGACATTTTCATGGAAGGTGACTCACCTTCCAAGAAGCAGTAAAATGCTTCTCCTCCACCTCCACTTCCTTCTCTTCTCCCTTCTCCTCCTGCACCTCCCACTTCAAATGCACATCATCACCATCATCCAGGAGCCTTCTACATACACACCTCAAAGTAAGTAAATTTTTCCGCCATTTTTGTTGAAGTTAGGAAATTTTCGGTGAGCTGGAACCAATTACCCAAAAACCCATTGAAACAATGGTTTCGGTTAACGAACGTTTCGGTTAACGAACGACCTTCTGGAACGGATTGAGTTCGTTAACCGAGGGGCCACTGTAATTATTATTAGGGAGTACAGTACAGTACTGTATTGTACTGTATTCAGTGTTTACTACCCTGCTGTTTGAACCTGTTGTTTGCTCCTCGTGCTTTGCTGTTATCCATCATTCAACAATAATTTTGTTCAATGTTAAGTTTTTCAGGAACACAATCCAATTGTGAAACAAGGGATGCACGTACACATTTTTTTTTTATTTAATATATTTTTTTTCTGCAATCAACTCTATTACATAAAAGCCACAATCATGTTAAAATCCCCTGTGTGGCAAAGCAGCTTACATTCTCTTGACTAGTGATGCCACATACACCCACACTGATATGATGGAGGCTGGGTAGGGTTTGAGGTGAAGAGCGAGGGCAAATTCAGCATCATTTGACTGTGTGAGGTGGATCCCAGTACTGTGGACAGCCTCCACCACACTGGCCATGGTACTGTACCCTTGATGTACACACACCCCACATACCTACAGACCATTACTAACTTTTAAACATTCAGAGTTTTCATTCTGGTTTAACTATGGTATAAAAACATCTTCTCAGTTGATATATACAATACAGTTATTAATATGAAAGCTTCACAAAAACTAATATAAAATACAGTAGAACATTTTATTACATTACTCTACTTTTATATACTGCATAAGGCCCAGTTCTCAACACTGTCCCATCAGATAATCACAGCTAACTCGTGCAAGTATTGAAAATGGCCATAAATTATGAAGATGATAATGATTTTCCCGACCAAGATTATGTTTCTAATTTTATAACTCAAGGTTTTAGTGACCAGAGGTAAAAACATCAACTCACCTTGTGGGAAGTCATAATTGTCGCTAACTGTGTGAGATCAGGTGAAGTATCTTTGCCAGAGGCTCGAGGTTCCTCTAATCCATGAACTAATTTTCTTAACACCATGATGGCATGTCGGTTCCAAGGTGTCCTGCACCCAACACACCAAGTTAAAAACATAAATTAAATATTAATAGGTATCCTCATATGTTGTGTTTCTGAGCACTTTCATTAAATTATAAACAATACTTCAAACAAATTACTAAAATATTCATTAGAAGATGATTCAAGTCACAACTGAAGTATTGGTCTTAAAATCCCTCATTACTGTACTGTAGTACCTTTAAACCTGAAACTAAGCAGCTTGAGTTTAATCCACACACTAAGTCATCAGTCAAAATGAATTGGGTTAATACCCTATCACAATCAACACCTTGGAAAAGCTTCCCTCACACACACTACTAAAGGGCAGGAGACTGAACAAGCATGTGATATTAACTAGAGTGCACCTTGCCCTTTCATTAACATCAGCCATGTTTGGTTTTCCAAACAACAATTCCTATCATGCACTGACACACTTCCACACTAACCCAGGGGAGTTAGGAGGGTTTCCAAGTCACCAAGTTCTGGGCTCTGACATAAACTAGGATTTCACCATCAATCCTTCATTTCTGTCCAGTCATCCTTCACCTATGTCTCTACCATATACCCAAAAGCTCAGGATTTTCAAAGCCATTGTCAACTGGTAAGGGGTTTTACCTTGATGGGATTTCTGGCTACACCTCCCAGTGCAATTTAGGATTATGAACTGTTTTTTATGTAACTAATATTCTTATTTAAGTTAAAGAAAGTAAAATATTGAAATTGTTGCATAATATTTCTCATGTGTAATTTCTGTATGGTATTTCTGAATACAATTAAGACTGAATCTTAACTTGTAATTAAAAATCAGATTGATTCAAATGGAGTGATTCCTACACACCTCTGAGAGCTTCTCCACTTCATGATGGCATCTCTCAGTAGTATCTCGAGTCTCTCCTTCAGCTGATCCATTTGGCTTGTGTCGACTGGATGGAATGTGAGCCGCTGAGGCTGGACGCTCGGTAAACCAGGGTCCGGCTGAGACCTGGAGAATAATGAACGCCACCCGGAACCATGGACGTCAAAGTTAACTCGCGGAGGATCATCATATTTCTGTACATTGGCCCAAATCTGGAGGGAAAAAAAAATTAATCCAGAAGGGTGTTGGTGGCACAGTGGTAGTGCACTTGTCTTTCACTACTGCATCCCAGGTTCAATCCTCAAGTTGGATGTGAGAAGGGTGTTATCCAGTGTGACCCTGACAAACATAGCAGGTTTACTCCAGGTACTCCAGTTTCCTCCAGTACTAACACAGGTCAATAAAGGTCACAACAGAGAACTGACTAACTGCCCAACCGACAATGAAACTGAAAAGTGGTGAAAAGAATAAATTATATTAATATATCTATATCTATATAAAACAAAGAATATGTCTGTTTGTGTGTTTGTTTGTGTGTCCGCACGAGAATCTAGGAAACTACTTTACCGATCTGTAGTGATGATGGATGATGTTATGTGTAGTGATGATGGATGGTGTTATATGTAGTGATGATGGATGATGTTATATGTAGTGACGATGGATGGTGTTATATGTAGTGATGATGGATGATGTTATATGTAGTGATGATGGATGTTGTTATATGTAGTGATGATGGGTGGTGTTATATGTAGTGATGATGGATGATGTTATATGTAGTGATGATGGATGGTGTTATATGTAGTGATGATGGATGATGTTATATGTAGTGATGATGGATGTTGTTATATGTAGTGATGATGGGTGGTGTTATATGTAGTGATGATGGATGATGTTATATGTAGTGATGATGGGTGGTGTTATATGTAGTGGTGATTAGACAATAAAATAATAACAGTTTAATGCTAAAAAAATATACTTTGCTGTACCGTTGTAGTGAAAAACATGGTGGAACTTACATACACAATTAATGAACTATTGATGGAAGAAGTTTTCGGGACTGAAAAGTGAGACAATGTGGAGCCTCCCGGAGGGTGGCGTCCTACCGTGGCCTAGCGAATGAGCCGCCCAGAGGGCGGCGTTTCTGCTAGTCCCAAATAAAGCAAATGTTACTGGGATATATTATTTTACAGCTACAGTATAATATATGCATTAAGTCATTCCTGGTAACCTACATTCCATAAACATACTTCTCCACATTTAATTGTTGTAACTTACTGACATTTGGGCAGATGAAGACTAGTATTACTTCACATGCAAAATTTTCCACACATTTACTAAGAACTCTGACAACTGATGTGGCTCTGTCATATACCACAGGAAGAAATTGACATTTTGCCTCCACTGTATGAATGAATCACTACATTCATGACATAATAATCATATCATTGAGACAACACATTTTCTCAGAGGTTTGTTGTGTCACTCAATGGCATTACAGTACAGTACTAAAGTCAAGAAAAAACATTAAGAGTAAACACCAAATAAACTTACATTATCTTGATCAACGAGCATGTAGACAGCACTGAGGGGACTGAAGGCATCCGTGGCACCAAAACACTGAGCTGTTGAAGGATTCCACACCAGCCATGAGCCGTTGTCCTCTAGGGTGAGTACGTAACAAGTCTCCCCCTCGGGTATTCCGCTACCTGGTGTGAAAATGTTTACAAAAGGCACACAAAATAAATCTAATTAAATGACTGGATTAGAATGATTTACCAGTTTGTATAATATTTCTCTGCCTTTTTTTGTTTTTTTTAATGGAAATTAGCCCACCCAGGCACAGGTCAAACAACCCATAATGGGGCCAGGGGGGCTTGTATGGTATAGCCCAGCAGTGTTAATGAAGGGAACACAATAATCACGAAGACTCTGATTGAGGATGAAGTAAAATACTGTACTTGTTATTTTCACACAGATAATTACAGTAGTTGTAATAATAACTGTTGACAAAATTACTGTACACTCATTCTCTAACATTCAACCCTTATTCACTTCCCGTATATCTTTAATGCCAAGTACAGTACAGTACAGGTTCTCCTCTACTTAAGAACATTCAACTTACAAACTTTCAGAGATACAAACATCATCACTGAGGGGGGTTACCTGCCAGAACAGGTGTTTAATGTGGATGAGACTGGATTATTTTGAAGAAAATTCAAGATAGAACAAACATTACCTAAGAGGAGAAGAGTGAGCCAGGTTTTAAGGCTGTATTAAAGGGTATAGCTGTACTAAATATCCATAACCTTTTCATATTTTACAATATGTTTGGTATCTACAAGAGTAAAGTTGGACTTACAAACAAGCCTCAGGAACGTACCTCGTTTGTAAGTAAGGAGCACCTGTACTGTACAGTATAGTACGTACTTCATGAACATGATGTACTGTACACTGAAGTACAGTAATATGGATTTGAGTAATATTTACATACTAGCCTCCAGTGGTGGGCACGGTTCCGTTAATCCGCTAACCGCTAATTAGCGAAGCTAACTTTCTCGTTAGCGGATTAGATTTTTTGCTAACTTTGGAAACCATTAGAGGACCAATTAGCTTCCGCTAAATTTAAGTCCGCTAACAAAATTTATACATGTTTGTTCCTGTCTGTTGTAAGCGTGTGACTCCGCGACGCGTGTCTCCAACAGCCAGTCAGGCACGCTTGGCTGACTGCGTGTTAGTATGTGTAAACGTGACAAGACATGACTAAGACCAACAATAAGTTATATAAAAATGCACTGGTATAATGTGTATGTGGTTGGTATTGCATATTTACATGAATAATGAATAAGGCTGATAGGTTGTATGAGAATGCAAATTAATTATTTGTGAAATTGTGTACAGTGTACACCTTGATAAGTTGATCAACATCTGATCTTGGCATGATGCTATTTGCTACCTATGCTATACAGTACTATAGTTTTTGGATTCGTTTAATACTTTCTGTCTTTTCGTACAGTAAATAAAGATTATAAAGGGTATGTTGAAACTTGAATGTAAACTAATGTTTAATTTCATTTGTTCATTTAATTATTTGTGTACACCTTGATCATCATCTGATCTTGGCATGCTATACCTTTTTGGAAAGCTCCATGTTAAGCTACAAGACAACATATGAAAATTTCAGCTCTCTAGGTCTGTTTTTAAGGGTTTAGAGCCAAAAAACAAACAAACCGAAGCTAAATTCATATAATAAAAGTTAGCGGTTAGCGTTAGCTTCCGCTAATATTTTTTAGCTGTTTAGCGGCTTAGCGTTAGCGAAGTTAACTTTTTAGTTAGCAGATTAGCGGTTAGCGAAGCTAACTTTTCGTTTAGCTGTGCCCACCACTGCTAGCCTCAATAACTACCAACACAGTGATGTAGAAATGACATCACTATCACCAACATACCTAAGAGAAGGAAAGCTGTCTTGCCAATATGAAGAAAGAAGTTGGTGAGTAATACTGCATGTTCCTCTTCATCACCGGTCAACATGGTCAAAAATTGCTGTAAATTAATAACAAATACTGTACTGTAAATGTCTCTAACAAAATATCATACAAGGACTAGAAATTGTGTTACAGTACAAGTGAAATTGTGATGGTTTTATTGGCTGTCCTTGGTCAAATTGACTTATGGTTTACACTACCATCAAATACAGTAGGGTCGGGATATATCACGACTTTTTATAAAGATTTTTTTATATCACGACTACCAAAATTATCGACATTTTCCAATATATAGCGATAAATTTATTTATTTTGCAAGGGAAATCAGGCAGGAAATATTTCAAAAGTACCGCCATGGCAAACGAATGTGTTATTTGCTCACCAGAAGCGCCACCGTGGCTGCTCACCCACACATTGACGCTCGCCCGCTCAGTCCTTCTGAGTGAGTGACAAGAAAGCAGCCGACTCTGCTGCAGATTACGACTTCTAAGGTGAGTGTTTAATGGGTTGCTAGTGACGTGAAGATAATGTAAAGATTAATGGAAAATATTTAATATTGTAACTAATATTTATGGTTTGTTCGTTTGTGTAGGTGTGGGACTGTCAAGTGAAGGTGGCAGTGTGGCGTTCCCAGGATGGTGTTCCCAGGATGGTGTTCCCAGGATGGTGTTCCCAGGATGGTGTTCCCAGGATGGTGCATCAGCTGCCGAGTCTGGTGTTCCTTGATACAGTATTGTAAAATTGAAATAGCCTGTTGTTCCCGAGTCTAGTGTTCATTGGTGCTTTAGTTAGTAAGAAAATGAACTCATTAAGTCAAGTTTAGTCACTTTTTTGGGGGGCTTCCAGAACTTAACCCTATTTTCCCCATTGATTACATGTCGTGAACATCGTTGGACCCTCTCTCGCGATATATCCCGACCCTACTGTACCTGCAGTTTGTATATCTACAAGTTGGATCAATATAAACTTTTATGATAATTACTTAATCTATCCATCTATCTATCTATCTATCTACCAGTACACATTTTTTGTCTTCAGTTGTGTGTATCAGAGTATTAACCAAAGTGTAAAGATACGCCCAAATGAAGTGTGTTTTAGTGGAGTTGTATCACAAGTCCCTCAATAACAACCCATAAATTATATAGAACCAAACCATGAAAATATGAAAAAACACGGATGGGATCACCTGACGATTACACACCCCCAGTTTAATTCATCTAACACTGCCAACCCCCCCCCCCCCAGGTGAATCAAACTAGGGTGTTTAATCTGCAGGTGAATCAAACTAGGTTGTCTAATCTTCAGGTGAATTAAATTAGGGTGCCTAATCTTCAGGTGATCCATAGTAATTACCATACAGGGAAGCCTTTACTCACACTTACCTCAGAATTGGCCCAAATATCACAAGCTCCAGGGAAAAGGGTCATGTCAGCCAGGGAAGGAATCAGAGAGATGTACCACGCCAAACGATGGGCATTTTCCACTGGATTTTCACCTGTAAGAAACAAATATTTTCCTTTATGGCTGACAACAATTTTTCACTATTTCAATTACTTTTTTTTTTATTCTAAACCAAATTGTTAATATAATTTACACATACCTGTACTGGAAAATGACAGCGTTGAGAGTAAAATTTTACCTAGTATATGTAAAAGACCGAAGATTCATTAATACAAGGTGTCCATAATCTGACATTTAATAACGTCAAATATATTAAAGATAGAACATGCTGGTTTTATTATACTGTACTTGACAAATAACTCAACAGTTTATCTACAATATTTTTAACATTATTAAGTTTTAAAATGAGTCTCATAAGTCATGGATGTACAGTACATGGTTCTGATGTTAACAAGTGAGCATAGAGGACGATACATGTTTATGTTGTTCAGGAAGACCTCATCAACTACTTCTTTTAAAGTATCTTTATGCCACTGAGAATCCTTATAAAATGTACATAAATAGTGAACAAAGAACTACCGTACTCTCTCTCCTCAACTTCTACTTACCTTCTCGTCTTGTCTCTTCAAGGATAATCAAGAATGCTTTATTTCCTAATGGAGTCTACATGTTAGTCTGGTCACTACTTGCTTCCACCTAAAACTGTAAACATGTAAAAAGAAGTTATCTCAACAAGCATACTGTACATAAGAGTAGAAAGGCCTAAACTTACCTATCAATTCATTGGGCGGCTTCAGTGGACGGATGAAGCGATTCAAACACAACAACTTTCCTGACAGATCTAAAACGTGAGTTCGGAATTTGCGGCGTGAATAACGGGATGAAAGAGAAGCCACCCAGTCACGGCTTGCTGCCAACACCTCCTCCGGTTCACTTGACTCAAACTGCGCCTTGAGAGAAACCAACACAATGACTGTAATGTATTTTAACTTCCTACAATCTTTCTTCATTTACTTAATCCTTCATAAAAGATAGCAAAATTGTTTCCTAATGATTTTACAATATATCTTAAAGTTTTCTATATCATCAAGCCAAATGTACAACAATGTGCAATAAAACAAAACATATTTATACATAAGAAAGACACAAATATTCCATCACTGTTTTTACGATTACTCAAACCTTTTGCTTGAACCTTTAAAACTGAAATTTATACAAAAATTCAGATAAAAAATCTCCTTTCTTGAACAGTGAGATTTATACCACTAGTTGAGACAATCAATACCAATCAAGGTGTCAAACTCATGGTCATTTATTTTAATAACTGGGGCTGTCTTTATCAACCTTCCCAGAGTCTGTAGCCGTCTGATGACCCACCGTTTACTTTTATTCATCAATCTAGTCTCTATCTTCCCCTGTCCCTCCTACCCAGCCACAGAGAACTTATTTTGTGGTATTGACAAATGAGTATCTGATATGTCTGAGGATAATACTTCACACTCATACCTTGATGGGTTCTGGAGGAGGAAGTGTTGGCTCCAGGGTGATGTAGATGGAGAGGTGTGTGGTAGACCTACTGGGCTCTCCTTGAGGCCTGTGAGCACCCATGTTGACAGCTGAGGTGGTGTCCCGGCTGTACCCTAAGAGCACCACAGGCTCTTCCAGAGAGAAGGTTCCCTCAATCTAAGGCAATAATGTATACAGTATAATTAACCCCTCATAATCAATAGACTTTTGAACCCAATTTTTTAAGGCAGTATAAAGTGTTTATTATTAAGGTAACTTATAACATCACTATATTGAAAGATGATATTCAGGCTTAAGTAAACATGATATACAGGTTGACAACCCTTTATCTGAAATTCCAAAAACCGAAAAGCTCTGAAAACCGAAAAAACAATTTTGTGGATTTTTTTTTTTTTTTTTTCGGGGATTAGCCCACCCGGGCACAGATCACTGACCCACATCGGGGCCTGGGGGGTGAGACGTAATAGTAATAATAATTATAATAATAATAATAATGATAATACAGTAAAAATAATAATAATTCATAGTAAATAAAAATTTTAATAAAAAATACACAAAAATAAAATAAGAATGATAACAATAATAATAATAACAATAATACTGTAATAATAAAATAATAATAATAATAAAGAAATACAAGAATGAAAAAAAGATCAAACGTGAGAAACACAACCAAGACCTATGAATTATTATTATTATTATTATTATTATTATTATTATTATTATTATTATTTATTATTATTATTATTATTATTATATTTTAGCCCCCAGGCCCCAATGTGAGTCAGTGACCTGTGCCTGGGTGGGCTGATCCCTGTAAAAAAAAAAAAAAAAAGTACTGTATTGTTTAGTGTATACAACCTACATCATGGACAATCTCTCTTTAAAAATAACATGACACAGTGCTCTTGTTACCATCATTCATACATAAACATGATTAGTAAAAATAACAATTTGAGGAGATGCAAAAGTAATGAAGAAAAGGAAAATGAAGAGTGAATAATAACTAATCTGGTTAACAGCATCTGAACAAACCCAGCTCATACAGACACATTCTTCAGAACTAAATGGGTAAAAAATTCATCAGGATAAATTTATGAAAAATATTTGTGAGACAGAAAGCGTAGCAAAAATGCACTACTTTCCATTATACCCCACAAATTATTTTAAGATCATAAGTTAATTTTCTCCAACTCATCTAACATAACATAACATAACCTAGGTTACTTTAGGTTATGGTTCATTGAAAGATTAACTTACAATCTTAAAAATGTTTATACAGTATAAAATAGAAGTACCTACCATAAATGATTTAAGTTTTTAAACATTTGCCATATAGTCACTTCAGTAATTACCCATGAAATAGATGATTTTTTTTATTTAAATGACAACAAAAAACAGGTACAGCAAAACAGGAGAGTCAAACCTTGGTATTGGAATATATTGTAGAAAATGGGATCTTCAGAGAGCCAAGCCAGCACTTCTCTATTCGATGATGAACTGTCGAGTCTCTCATGCGATCGTCCTCGAGCAAATCATGAATGACTTCATCAAACAGGTGAAGGTAGACGTTATCTGTCACCGTCTGTAGAGTCTTTGATGAAAAGGTGTCATTCGGGGCTCTGAAAATTAGTCAAATCTTTAGTAACGTTGCTCACAAAATGTTCAGCAAAATTTGTCTTACTGGGGATACTGTATTGGTTCTCTAGTCCTCTGATTCTCAATGCAAGATTCTCTGTTAAGTATTTTAGAGTTTTTTTCAGGTCAATATTATCTCTTCACCATAAACGTCCCATTTCAGTATAATTGTATTAATGCTTGTGGTAAAAACAGTAAAGGAATCATTAATATCCACAGGGGTAACTTTCCTGGAGATATGTTAGGTTTAGAACTGAAGTTAATAAGTTACGGGACAAATGACGCTTCCATCCTGAAAACCCAATTTATAAAAGAGGAGGGGAGGAAGAATCACTGAATGTGTGTGTTAGGGATTGTGGGTTTACTCTGCACCACTAAGCAATGTGCCACTGATAGCAATACAAGGATCAATCAATCTCCGCATGACAACAGGTGGAACAAACATCACGTGAAACTGTAAAAAAAAAAAAAAATTCTCAGTGCATTAGAATCACTGAATAAATGCATCGCTACTTTCCTTACGTTTCAGAATACGGTCATTAAATTTCAATCTCTTCAGTAAATTGATTTGTTACTCAGACTTCTGAACTCATTCACTCCTCCACCTTGATACACAATTCTTCTCCACTGAAGGTTTATTTAAATCACAGAATAAAAGGAACTAGAATCTGAGGACAAAAGAGGACCTGAGTGAACCCAAGCAAAGTACTGACTCTCACTGGCTGGTGCCCTTCTTATAGTTATTATCATGGCTTTTGAGTTATTAAACCCCAAACATTTCCACCTTAAACCACCATAAATATACAAGAATGAACATTATATCACCATAAATATACAAGAATGAACATTATATCACCATAAATATACAAGAATGAACATTATATCACCATAAATATACAAGAATGAACATTATATCACCATAAATATACAAGAATGAACATTATATCACCATAAATATACAAGAATGAACATTATATCACCATAAATATACATAACAAAAAAGAACATCGCAACTGTTTTCATTCTCAAGTTATGAATCATATAGACATTAACTAGACAACAAAAATACAAGTGGCTGGGTCAATATTTACAGACTGCTATGATCCTCTGCCTACTCTATCCTATCAATAGAAACAAAAACATATATCAACCAACTTACCTGAAGGGGAATGAGAGTTGCTGATTCCACGTTGGGTTGGGACCTTCAGCGACACTAGTGCGCAAAACCGTCCTCTGGAAAGTTGCTTCAATAAAGGGACGCACTAAACTACTTCCTTGTATCACATCTGTTGACTGACCTGAAAGTAGTACAGTATTCATATAAATCCAAATATTTCATCCGAAGTCAAAGGTCAAATATGGTTACAAGATTCCTCCATAATAACTCCGGACCAAATCAAGAGCAAGATGCTGAGGGCTGCTGCTTCATTACCGACACAAATCACTGAGTGTGTTAGGTATATAGATGAATGAGGTGGTTGGTTCATAGTACAACTTTATAAATAACTTAGATACACTAAAACCCTTAAATCTTAACTGTGACAGGTTGCGGCAGCAGTATATGTTCCAACCAGTCTGACCTGAGCTAGAACAACCCCCACTTTGTACAGAGGAGGCGTGTACAGGGCAAACTACTAATCAACTGAGTCCCCATACGAGACAGGCTTTTGTTAACTGATGTTCACCACACATAATAATAAAGTTTCTGTTGTATGAATGCCCTAATGTTGAACAGGACACATAGACAGAAAGGACAAACAGTCTCTGCCTTTATACTAATGACAGATTGAAAAACATATACAGTATTGTGTCACCATGACTGTTGACAATCTTTACAAACAATATGATAATGGTAAATAATTCAAATATATGTACTAAAAAAAACACAGTCTCCCCAAGTAAGCCTTACTCTGTTCTGCGGAAGTGTTACGTGACGAATCATGACGTACTGGAACGTGAAAGGCTCGAGCTATGTGCACAATGAGCTGCACTTGTGGGTCAACCAAGCCAGCACCCCGAACTTGGTCCCTCTTCTTCCTCCGTGGCTTCAGTGGTCGCCGAGGCTTGAACACTGACAGTAAAGATGTTCCAAGAGTCCTGAAGGAATTTTTAGATAATATAAGTACTGTTGGTTGATGATATGTATTGTGATGAGATCAGCCCAGAAGGATGACAATATGTTCAGTATATATTTTACACAGTTCCACCCTTAGTTGTCTTGAGCCAGCTGACAATTAATAATGACCACCCACAGTAGTTCACAAGCAACATAAAACAGTTTTACCTGCCATCAGGTGGTGAAAATCACTACCAGTTTCCAGTCAATCGATCCTCTGTTCTCATCCCCGAGAACCTCGTCGCTTGTTCAACTCGAATCAGTTCTGACAGCTAACCTAACCTAGTCTAACCTAACCTAACCAGAACCTAAATCACTACAATACTGGTCAGTAACCTACCCAATGTCTGGTATGCTCTCCTCTTGCACTAAATCCTTCAGCTTTGGAGCAACATTTGTTGGAGAGTAACGCTGTTGCATGTTTCGGCGTAATGAAGCCAGCAGCTTCCCTGTGCGCTCCCATCGCTGGTCTAACCCCCACAGAACGCCGCTCTCTAACTCTGTGGTCTCTTTATGTTCAGTTCCAATAGCAGCCTTATTTTCATATTTCTAAACAAAAGAAAAGAGATTAATATTTCCCTTTGGGACCTGATACATGTGTTACCCATTAAACAATTAAGAATGTAGAAAGAGTGAGAGATACAAGGACCAGTATGACCACGTACTGCATTAAAGGGATTAGCCCACCCGGGCACAGGTCACTGACCCACACCAGGGCCTGGGGGACAAAATGTAATAATAATAATAGTAATAATAACAATAATAATAATAATAATAATAATAATAATAATAATAATAATAATAATAATAATAATAATAATAATAATAATAATTCATAGTAAATAAAATTTATAATAAAAAATACACAATTAAAAATAACATAATAAATTAATAATGATAACAATAATAATAATAATAAAAATAATAATAATAATAATGATAATAAAGAACCATAAAGAAAAGGAACAAAAATATCAATAGTGAGAAACAATATATGTACAGGTATGTTGTGTTGCCAATAGTAAGAGAGACAATTGAGACCCTGTAATTGTGTGTAAATGAGGCAGAAAGTCAGATCATCAACCTGGGACTTGGTCACATATGGCAGCAGGGTCTACCATTAGACAACACATTATGCTTCCAATATCTTCTCAGGCGGTAGTACCTCCCAGTTTGGTAGTTGCCTACTACCTACATGATGAGTTAACTGTACATGTAACATTATTGTTTTAAATAAATGGTTAAAACAAATTAATTTTGAAAAATATTAGTGACAGAAACCATTTCACAATGATTTATAAAACAGTACTGTACTGTACTGTACTCTGGTGAACTTCAAAAGCTCCCCACTAGTAAAAATGGCATGACAGTATACTGATAAATGTACAGTGTTCACCTCAACCCTACTGGATGAATACTCTGCTGTCCCCCAGTACAGCACCATGACAGATACTAGCACATCCCTTAAACTGAATGTTTCAGGACACACTGTAATGGTTTACATGATGAGGTCTGTAATGGGGTACAGTAGTGTTTATCATTGATCAGGGGATATGTTTAGGAATGATCACCTGCTGAACTTGATTATATTAGTAATTGTAGTGTACAATAGATTAATAAAAGAATATAATGTTAATAATGAATTATTACCAACACGTTCCGACTTACTTCTAAAGTTTTTCGTAGGACTTCTGACTCAATGGCAGGAATAAGTTTAAGGCCCTTAAACTCTGGCACTTCCTGAGCTCTGAGCTGAAGGACGCGCAGCCGTACACTGGCATCCAGATCAGCATTAGTACAAAAGTCTCCCTCATAGCGATCTATCTCAAAGTAATTGTTAGGTTTAGATTTACCAGAAGCAGCTTTCTGTAAGTAAAGGAATAAAAAATTGACTTTCTTGCTGGCAGAATACTTGCCAATATTCAATAAGATATTTCTCACACACACTCTAATCACCTTTGTATAATTTCACATAAACGTGCCTCAGCATTCCAATCCGACATAACTTTTTTTATTCGTATAGTTAACTTAAACAGAAAGCAAGCACAAGAGTTGACAATTTGAAGAACTGCAATGTGACTTACCTGCAAGTGACTTACAAGTGCTACATTACTCGGGTCATTGGGATCAATGCGAGCATCCTCAAGCCACCTCTTAGCAATTGTGGGGTCAGCTCTGGGGTGCAGGTGTGACTGTTTAATAGATAACAAACAATGTAACCACAACTAATGCTCATCATCCTATGTTAATTCATCTGATGCAAAATTTAGTTTATCCTCAACATGCAGCCAACTCATCCAAACATTCCAATTTCCCAGCGGCATTTTCATATGTCTGCACAGCCTTGAACTTCTGCAGTGAATTTGGCAGTAACTAACATCTTGCCTCTGTTCACTGGCTACACAACATTCCTACACACACATTACACTTTACACTGTATATAAGTAAGTAAGGTGTGGTGTACCAATATTCTTAGAAAACAAGTCAAGTAAAAAGGTTTGTAAATAAATGAGTTATCAAGTGCGAGGCAAGTGATCAGTCCCCTCACCATGCCAGCTATTGCTACACACACACACACTTACTCTAACAGGAGAATGACCAGTGAGAGCTGCTGGAGGAGGACCCACAGGCGACAAAATCTCTCCATCGTCACCAAGTGCCCAACCCAGACGGTACCTCATCAACCCGCAGGTGAAGGAAGATCCGTACTCTGAGTCTGCCAGGCCACAACCTACTCCTTCATGGTTGTGGCTTATGACCTGGTGATGGAAGACTGGCATTACTGACACAGTAGTGACTCTTAAATGGCAGCCGTCAACAGTGGAGGTTAGCTGTAGTGAGTTTTCATACATGTTGCCTGATCTGATTTATTGAGTTCCATCTCCCAATTACTTCACCTACTAGAAAAGCACAATCGTTAGTTACTCTCCATAAGGGTATCCATAATTCTTCTTAAAATGTAAATATCATACAGCAGTAATATGTGAATCTCTCACTATCACTGTGTCCTGGGTTTAATCCCCAGACAGATGCAAGAAAGGAGTTATCCAGCGTGAGTCTACCAAACATGGCAGGTTTTCTCCAGGTTCTTCAGTTTCCTTCTGTACTAACAGTGGATAATAAAGGTCACAACAAAGTAACAATGAAAAGAATAAACACCTTAATAGTTAATAAACTGATAAATGGTGAATCCCTAAAAGCTATAGGTATTCAACCTGGACTTGAGCCAAGACAACACCTCAGGTATTAAAATGTTTTGTTGTTTTTACTCATGTGAAGGAGGCAACATAGGTAGAAAGAACTAACCTGTTTACCACTGAATTCAACAGTATCAAACATATCCTTGAAGGTGTTTGTTTTGCTGGGTACTGGTAAGAATGCTGTTGCCACAAGAGTCTGCCTAAGACTCGTTCCCTCGGTGACTTCCAATACAACACTCCGTGGCCACGATGACAGGGCCATTCTATACGTCTGGCCAAGGTGTAGTGTGAAGTCATTTCCAAGACTAGCTGAAGATGTTTGTGTTACCAGCTTGTTGTTTATGAGAACCTAAAACAGAAATAAATATGATTCACTGTTTAGTTTTCCAAGTAGTGGAGAAAAGATACAAATACAGTACAGTTTAATGATTGCCACCATTACTTGAAGTATCTCTCTCTCAAAACAGTCTCGGTGCTCACTCAAAATTCATTAAGAATCTTGAACTCTCATTAATATCCATAAATTTAAAGTTTATGGCTCTTGTAAGAAAAAATAATTATATACAGTAAGACAAATGAGAACTTTGACCATGAGCATCACTCATAAAACAAACTTGGTCGTACCTTCACCCACAATTTTAGTTTCCCAACCGCTTGTCTCCGGCGCCTCTCTTGTTCAGGACAATGGTTGTTTTCTGTTACCGACGATGACTGAGTCAGTTCCAGTTGTATGATGGGTTCCCCTGGTGGCCGTCGTGTGTGGGAGAAGACCTCGAGAACTTCCAATTCTACCTGAAGAAAATTTCCAGCTCACTTACCTCTATCTTTAGCCATAAGACTTATAATCATTAAGTATTTCTGTGTTAAAATGGATCACCTGAAGATTAGCCTCAGTTTATTTCACATTAAGATTAAAAGCTAACACTACCCTAAGCTAACCAGCCAAGGTAGCTTTTGGGTGTTTAATCACCAGGTAAAAGAAGCTGGTAGTAATCTTCAGTTGATCCATCTTACAAACAAACCAACTAACTAACTCACTAGCCATATCTCAAATTACCATTAACACTAATTCTTTCTACTTGATTGGCTGAGTAGCGGCAAGACATCTCAAGGGAGCCCCAATAGCAAATCTAACCAGACACATTCACAGTTCCAAATGAGCCAATAACCATGGCCCCACACACACACCAGTGATCCTTACAACAGCAGGTTAGTGTTGTTTCTCTGAAGCTGTTGCACCTTGTCTCTCATATTCCACTATAGGGTGAAGCTCCCATATACGGCAACTCCCCAAAAATTTCATTTTTTTTTAAATTCTTCCACCCGGCAAACCTCTTAAAGAACGGTGAGGTCGGAAAGGTGACTTGAACGAAAATTCAACTACCCATCAAACCTCCCATCGAGCGGCAGCATCTCGTAGTTTCACCAATTGGCCGCTAATGTTTTGGTGTCCCGCCAATAGGTCCCACCATTTACTTTATTTGTTTGAATTCACAGCTGGGGGAGGTTGTGTGCTTATTTAAGTGTCACAGTTTCATTCTACCTTTGTCACCCAAACATGTGTTTATATACAAGTACAGGTATACGTACAGTGTATTGGTAACCAGTTACAAGTACTGTACGTACAAAATATGACCTTCTAAATAGCGGTACTTTCCTATATCAGGCTCGGAGCTGGTCCCATGCTTGACAGATATGGGAGCTTCAACCTGTAAAAAACAAGTATAAAGACTACACCCACTATGTCATGGCTCAAGGTTGGTGTGTACACAATCAACAGTTCTTCATTTACCTTGTGCTTGTCTACTGGCTTGGGAGGCTGGGGCTTGGCTGCCTCTGGGGTGGACAATATGGTGTCGTCCTGGGCAGCTTGTAGAATTGAACTTTCTAAATCTTCCCCTAAAGCTGACTTCTGTCGCTGCTGCTGATGTTTCTTGGCTTCTTTCTATCAGCAGAAATATAAACATGAAATGTACTGTAATGGGAGACAAAAATTATGAAAACCAACTGGTCTTGAGACTTAATGTAAAGATTTTCTAAGACTTTTATACTGGGAGTCTATGGGAAAATGTACTCTGACTTACAAAAGGTTTTTTATGACTGCTAACCTTTCACAAATCAGATAATGCCTGTATAAATTACCAGTCTTCCAAAGAAACTCACTGATTCACTGATTTGCTGGATCTGTTTATATTTAATACTTACTTAAGAAAGCATTAATAAATATAAATTCCTACCCTTTTCTTACGAGCAGTTTTCCACTCAGTAATGGCTTTCTCGTACTTCGTCATCTTCTTCGTATAATCTTCTTCATAAACTTCAAGTAATTCTTTAACCTCTTCCTCTAGTTCCTCTTTCCTCCTCTCCTCTTCATCTTCTTTACTGACATCTTCCTTTTTTATGATCAGTTTGTGTGCTGTGCTGTGGTACTTATTACCTCGCCTCAGATGTTTGATGTTTTTCCAAAGTTTCAGGATGTTGGTCAGAAGGACTCGGTCTCTCTCGGCTTCAGCGATAAACTCCTCACGACACTCCCGGATCTCTTGGCGGTAGATCTCCAACCTGCGGACAGAGTCGATCTCCTCGTGGACAGACTTATGCTGCCTCTTGGACTCTGGTCTAATCTGACGGAGTTTTGCCAATGACTGCCGTAGTACCTTTGAAAGAAGTTGAAAAATTAATATTGACACTGTTTACGGTAATTCTGTTCGCGTAAAACTAATGGCTGGACGAGAAATATCTGACACAAGACACGCATTAGTTTCAGTATAAATAATGTGTGTATCTCCTCTGTATGTGGTGTAAAATGCATTGAGAATATGATCATGTTGTATAGAATGTATGATGTATGTTGTATAGTATGTAAAATGTATGTTGTATATGGTGTATGACATATGAGATACGGCAAAACTATAAACTGAGCAAAAGAAGAAAACAAAAATAAAAAATATTGATAAAAAGCACAGAAAGCTGTACCTATCAAAACAGAATTTAATTACATGTGTCTCTCAATCATTCCCTCAATATTTACCAAGTAGTTTCATCTAATATTCATCAATGGTTGTCTTAATAATTATAATAACAATCAAAAAAAGGTCTTCATATGTATTGCTAAGAGATTAAGTCGAAAATGGCTGTAAAATGCTGATAATGATGAGAATTAAGTACAGCAGTAACATATGAACCAGGAAGTGTAGAGGACAATTTGGAAAGATGATACAAGGTGGGTGCCTATAAGTTATCTCATCCATTTTAATACTTCATAACCTCAAAAAATATCATGAAAAGAACATACTGGTTTTAGCATACTTGACAAACTATGCATAAAGGAAAACACTATACCATGACAAATGAGGTACTGCAGGTATTTTTTAAAAGGTTCTCACTATGGGACAGTTTAATTGAACAGGTGATCACAGGTGTTGGGACAGTTCGTATACCGAGTTATAATGCCACGAGTTGAATCCTCAAAGCCTTTAGTATTGTCAGAGAAGCTAACAAAGAGCTAAACACAAGTGATGAGTCTTCAGCCCGACCACAAATAAGTAAACTAAGAAACCAAGATTCTGGCTTCATTTAACATTATTTTTCTATTTTTAAAACCTTCGGGGACTTTGTATTACTCATGTCAGAGGGCTGTTAAACTGAATAAATTGATAATCATTCATGACAGGACCTGAAAAGACCTTAAATAAAATGCTGGTCGGGCTTTATCCACGACACATTTTAGGAAAAAATTTTCATCAAGGTCTGTTTATGTCGGTACCAATATGAAGTTAAAAATTAACCTGTACTTTAAATTAAATGAAGCTTCATACATAGTTTTTGAACACTGTACAGTACCACTATTCTGACACTTTAGGTAAACACGTACTGTACTGTAGTCTGATGGCTCATCCCCAGAGTCAAATAGAAACCATGAAAATTTATTAAGCAGATATTACAGCATGTGTATTGTTACTAATAATCCACTACACAGACAATGAAATAAACCAACTGTAACTTGTGTAGCTGAGTGATACAGTCATATGTAACTTATCAATGTAAAAAAAAAAAAATCCATTTTCTAAGTCACAGAATCTGTACCACAAACCAACACAGCAGAGACCAGCTTACCACAAGTTTGTTCTGGAGGATCTTTGTAACGCTTGCTGCCACCCTCTCCACATATGTGTTGTAAGCTTGAGTGAGCTGTGAGGCCAACACATGTTCAGGAGAGAAGAGAGGGTGATGGGTGAAGGTCAGCTGGGAGAGTTCAACATCCAACACGCCGCCATCATCTTGACTTGTGGACAGACACTCACTTGAATGTGGCTGATGAGACACATAATAACAATAAGTCTTATGGATCACCTGACGATTAGCCCTACTATTGATAACTTTAACCTAACCTAACTTAACCTAATCACCCGAATGCTAGCCTACTCAAACCTAACCTAACTTAAACTAATCCTAGCCTTTCCTCACCACCCCTAGGTAGCAAGCAAATGGGTGGTTAATCTTCAAGTGAAATAATCTAGGGTGCCTAATCTTCAGGTGATCCTACTTTACATTAAGCACAACACAGCAAACACAACATTACCACATACATGAACAAACACCGTGAGCGGCTCCAGTTGGGTCTCAAAGTCCGAGGGAAGATGGTGGTAGATCTGCTCACTGATGGGGTTGTCCAGTCTCTCAAGTGAGCCTGTCTCTGTGAACCAATGCCTGTAAGAGACCACCTGAATATTAGACACCCCATCTTATTTCACTTTGGAGTTTACACCCACTTATTTCACCAAAGATTAAATTCCTCAGTTTATTTCATCAAAAGCTCAGGCAACCCAGCTTATTTTGCCCAAATATTAGACACTCCAGCTTATTGCTCCCAAATATTAGGCACCCTAGCTAATTTCACCTGAAGATTAAACACCCTAATGACAATTGGCAGGAGTTTCTGTTAGATTAAGTCACCATTAGAGTGGTTAATATTTATGTGAAATAACCAGGGAGGGGCCTAATCTTCAGGGACTCCAAACGATATAGTATAATTGGTTGCAATATTAAGGATGGGGGATCAAACAGTCATAGAACGATAGATGAAAATATATAGCAAACCTTAACAGGTATAAAAACCATTAAGTTTCATAGTTCACTATATTCCAACAAACAAAATCAGGGAAAGTCTGGAAAAATTAATAAAATGTCCCATCAGTTTTATTTCAGTTCAACCAACCTGCTTCCCTGACGAAGAAATCTGTTTTCAGTAATATTGAGATTGGTCTGTGTAATGTACGGCTTCTCACCAATGTACAGACCCTCATCTGCAAGGTTTCTCAGCGCTACGTCGGCATCAATCTTGTTGTGGACGTCACCTGTAATCACGTCACCTCTAAGACACATTTTCATATTTCTAAGATACAAAGCAAATCTTGTTCGTATTTGTGCAAGTATGTGTGTGTGTGTGTGTGTGTGTGTATGTAAGAGTATGTATCTGTGTGTGTGTGTGTGTGTGTGTAAAAGTACCGGTATGTACATGTGTGTGTGTGTGTGTGTGTAAGAGTGTGTACATGTGTCTGTGTAAAAGTATGTACATGTGTCTGTATGTGTGTATCTAAAGAATATATTTTTATAAGTAGTGTACATGACTTCGTGTAGATAAGGTTGGAACTAGATTGCCATAAATGTGTAAACTGTAGGTGTGTGAAAGGGTATAATATACAGTAACAATATTCATACAACATAGAAAGTAGAATACAGTGTGTATGTTTATGGGAAAGTTTGTGTGTAAGTCTGTGTATGCATAAGAGTGTGTAAAAGTATGTGTAAATGAATGTGTGTGGACAGGAGTACTGGAGTGTGTCTAGGCATGACCCCAGGAAAGTTATGTCATCTAATAAATACTAATAATGGTCACACTAACTAAATTACAATCATCATGAACTCAATTAATGGTCACACAATCATCATCATCCTCAATGTTTTATGGCCATTTTTCCTCTCTAGTTATGGTCACACAATAAACTAAATTATAATCACCGTGACCTCTAATGACAATAGTCTACAGCCACACCTAACAATAGACCACACTATACCAACTTGGTAATGGTGAGGGCAAGAAGAGCGTTTCCTCATCATGGAAGCATCTCTTATTGTACGACACATACTGGGCAGGGACAAGGTGGGTCACTAGCTGCTTCGGAGGACCCACAAGTGCTAACTCCTCGCTCTCCTCCTCTGTGTAAAGTCAAGTGAGGCAAATTTAAGTGAAGTTAACTGCCAGAGAATAACTGCAAGAGATTTTTCTATTAGCTGTTCTTACAAACGGATGGAAATAACAGGATAGGTAAACTTGCTCCAAAAAGTATCTTTACGATTTTGTGTGAGACAATATGACACAATAAACGAAGGATTTTGACAACCCTACCGAGACAACAGGAGTCGAGGTGATAATTTTTAAATTCATCGGACCTTTCCGTAAAGATACCTCTTGGAGCGAGCGCACATCAGACCACTACTCTTGCCAACACAATTCAGGGTGATTCTTGAAGCAGAAAAATTTTGCACATAAGAAAGCTTAAATGTTTGTCTTTCTCCTCAAAGAAAACATTAAAAATTTGTACTTTACACATAATACAAAAGCATCCTCAGTCAGTTGTCATACCAACAAAAGTGAAGCACCACTCAACTCACCAGTGAAAACAATTATAAAACCTTAATCAACATGGCCATTATTATCACAGTGCTCTGGTACGTCATCTGTACAAAATGAGTCAGGCAATACAACAATACTGAATACTATGACAAGAACTTCCAAGAGAAACATGAAATTTATTATTGAGTGAGTCATAAACTTTACATGAAGGCACCTCAATGGATCATCACCAAGGGTTAATATATTTACACATCAGTGACCTAAATACTTAATAGATTTACACAACAGTGACCTAAATACTTAATATATTTACACAACAGTGAGCTTAACAAAACAATAAATATAAACTGTGAAAAAATCTCTTTAATAAAATCATACCATCAATAACATCCTCACTTGTGTCGTCTCTCTCGGTTCTTTCCTTGGGGGACGATGGCGGAGTCTTTGGGACAACTCCTCTGTGACTCGAATCTTTCATACAAGAAAACAAAATTAATCTTCTTAGTTAACAAAATAAATACTGAATATTACAAAACTGATTTCTATACTGTCTACAATCTTCAAAAATTAAATCTGTCATTTTATCTCATTAATTACTTAGAAACTAACTATCATCACCATTCAAGGGCCATTTTTCAAACTTGCGATGGGGAGCCGTGATTACCTGATGGTGTCGTGTCCCAGTTGGTATCAAGAGAGTGTTTTGGCTGGATGTCTTTCCTATCACCAACCCAGTTTTATAGAATGGCAACAGGACACTATACTATATACAAACACTGATATAATCACCTAATAGACATAACAGAAATTAAATAGAAACAACAATAGGAATGGTTATAATTTACCTAGACGTACTGGAGAAGTTTTGCCTTTCCATTTGCCCAGGGGAGTAGGCTTCACTTGCTCCTCTGGCCAAACGCGTATAAAAAAGTCTTCGCTCTCTATCCGTGAAGCAGCTCTGGCCTGGGAGTTAAATAACTATCATTAACGAGAACAAAAATAGAAAAAAACACACCTTAGTTATGGCTCTCATGAAGATTAGGAAATTCTTGCTTTAATTCACCTGATGATTATACACCCTAACACTAATGATGGTTAGGTTAGATTAGGTTACATTATACTTGGTTAGGTTATGTCTTGGTACATTAATTTGGTTAGGTTTGGTTAATCTGAGTTAGGTTAAGTGATGGTACATTAAGTTTGGTTAGGTTTGGTTAAGTTGGGTTAGGTTTGGTTAAGTTGGGTTAGGTTTAGTTAAGTTGGGTTAGGTTTGGTTAAGTTGGGTTTGGTTAAGTTGGGTTAGGTTTGGTTAAGTTGGGTTTGGTTAAGTTGGATTAGGTTTAGTTAAGTTACATTATGTTAGGTTAGGTTATGAATCAGGTGTTTAATCATCAGGTGTAATAAGCTCGGAGGTTCTTTATAGTCATGAGATCCTAATTAGTCATGCTTTACTATGTGTGAGACAGACTGAGGTACACTACTTTATTTGTTGTGACAGTATACCAGTCTTATTAGTCAATCCAACTACAGTAAAGTATAATGGTTTAATAAAGACTAATGATACAGTTGTATAAATTATTACAACCAGAAATTTGACACGGACAGTCCTCGCTTAATTCAGATTTCGTCCGATTTATCCGATATCCAGATTAAAGGGGTCCGTTTTAACAAGGGTCGATTGTATCTACAGGACTAAAGTTGGAGTTACACACAAACCTCAGTAACTTAACTCATGCGGGTTGAAATCAGTCACATTTATAATAGCAGTACAGCAGTCACACTTTATATGAGCAGAAACAGCAATACTAGTAGTAATCAGTACAGTACATTAGTAGTAGTAGTAGACTAGTAGTAGTTAAATCTATACCCACTGGATACTATTGCCTAATGGAGTAACTATAAACAAATAACTACAGCTCCCAGATATAGTGTACGGTGTAGATCATGTACTGTACCTTGGCTGCTTTTCTGCCACCGCTGCCTTGACATCAGGTGCTCCGCCTCACCACTGTCCGGGGCTGACAGTCACAAAAGCAAAATTTGTGATTAAATAAACACAACTGCTAATGATATCCTGTTAAACAAAAATTATACTGTACTACAAATAAAATAAAATATTATAATTAAGAGCTCTGTTCATCCATCATGTTCTGAGCTAATTAAATTCTGAGATACAATATTAGTGTTGGCGACACTGTCAGGGTGTTGGGGCTAGATTGGTGGAGTGCCAGTGGTACAGTGGTGAAGGTGTGACCTGGGTTCATCTTCTTGGACTGGGTATGAAGGGTGTTGTCTAGTGTGACCTCACTACCAAACATACCCGGGGTCCTTTGGTTCTCCTGTACTAACACTGACATGCCTAACCAACTAGTATATATACTGGTAAATGTCATTTCTCCCTTGATAGTAACGTTCATATCCAAAGAGAGGAACTAGATATGTGTTCAAATAATAAGGATAATTGACTTTAATTAACATGATGTGGTTGGTATCCTGGTCAAACTGCTACACACATTATAGGACTGTTTGCTGTTGTTGATCATAACGTGGATAACACGACCAATCCTTTATTTCTGAAGTTCAATAAACCACCATTGTTCACTACCCCAAATAATCAAATATTTCTATCTATGAGGACAATAGAGAAACAAAGAATTAACCCTTCTCCTCTCTCCCATATCTTTACTTATGTTTTATAACAATATAATAAAGACCCAATATAGGAATCTGTATTTAAAACAATCTATATTATACTCACAGTACTGTACTTCAAAACAGAATATAAAGTTCTATTAGGTAAAAGCTTCCCAGTAACCATCAGAAGGATCAGCAAGACCATTGGACAGTATACCCCATCAAACCTGGTGAAGGGACGAGTGCTGAGTTTTTCCCTGAGTCGTCCGGGCTTTTCCTCTCACTGCCACTAGGCCAGCCACCCCAATCTGGCTTAAATTCTCCTCCTTTCCAAGAAAATAAGAACAGTATTAAAATTCCTAAACTATAAATAGTGTCAGTATAAACAGTTTAGTTTTTATTTATACACAAACAAAACCATCTTTTAAAATGTCTTTAATGGGCTTGTTTATCTGTAAACGTAAGTTGAATGAAAGTAACTAAAAACAACTTACATTAAATATGTTCTTGTACAAATGCCCTGAATGATGACCGTTTGAAGGCCATATAATTTTTTCAATATAGCTAGTACCAAACTTAGTAGTCATGCAATTACACTTGTTATAATAATGATTTGCAACAATACAACAACCTAGATTGCCTCTATATATTATAAGGACGTCCAATTTTTTATAAAGGCATGGTAAGTCATGTGCAGCATCTCCATTACAAAGGTGCAGTCAGAGAGACCAACACGCAACATTCTTTTCAGTGTACCCTAGCTGTTGGTGAAGCCTCAAGATGGTAATTAAAGTGACTTGTTTCGTTGTATCCCTTTAAACTCTTGTCAAGAAGTAAAAGATAGGACATTGATAACCCATTTGAACTATGAAGCAGAATGCAGGGTAAATTGTAGATCTATACTTGCTGTCAATTCCCAAACCTTCAAACATTTAATGATGTGGATAGATTCTACTATGATTGATTCATCCAGCTGTCAGTAGAGTAGACTGCAAATGTTACCAACCACGGAGGTTGTATAAATGCAAGCTGACTGAACTGAAATACTATATACCTGATTTTAACTGTGTGACTGAACTGAAATACTATATACCTGATTTTAACTAAGCTGATTGAACTGAAATACTATATACCTGATTTTAATGAATCACATAACTCACCTGCCTTACATCATGTATGGTATGGTTGATAAACCTGATGATTCCGTTTTCATCTTGACGTTCAACATCCTTGATTTAATCTTCATGATAAATTTATAAATAACTCTGAAATTAGTTAAATATCAAAATCAGAATAAATTAATACACAGATAACCCAATTAACTTGTAACACCAAAAAGACAATAAAGAGATTAATACTAATTTTGTCCAATTAACTTGTAAACATCAAAGATAATAGCAGGATTAACACTAATAAGGTAGTATATATACCAGCCTTTAAGTCCTTCCTTCATCCCTCCCTCCAATGGTTGTTTGAAACACTCCTGGAATGTAGGAGTCCAAGCCTCTATAGTAATAATTACTAAAATTAACTATATAACGGTATAATAATTATCTTTGTAATCCTAATTTTCATGTTATTTATATTTTACTTTATGATTATAAATCTAAAGGTAAACAAATTTATGTTTCGGAATTATAAATAAATTAGTTTCGTATCTTTACTGTCATATACTAAATCTTACATGACACTATGTCATTCATATAATAATAATAATTACAGATAAACACATATAGCTTCCTAACAATATGTCAAGGGTTCGAGCCTCGACCCTGACACACTTGGAGAAGGGTCACAGCAAGATAGGTCACCTTGGGGTCAAGCAGGGGTCACAGGGTCACCTGGGTCACAGGGTCACTCGGGTCACAGGGTCACCTTGGGTCACAGGGTGTCTCCAGTGTGACCTTTGACTCCCAAACACCACAGGTTCCTGGTCCCTGGTTCCTTCCCTATACTAATTGGCTAGACCAACCAAAACGGCTAGTAAGATGATAAGTGACGAAAATTATATTTTAAAAAAAGAATATACTGTAGGCCTATATATATTTCCAACAGTCCAAAGCGGGCCAACGAGCTGACTCAGTAAGTGAAGAGGATAATAGTAAAAGTATATATAATTTTATTTACGGTGTATAGACCATAGAGGTGTACGGGTTGTGGCCATATTACAGAGAATTCTTTTAAAAGAAATACATAAAATACAGCTCATAAAATTGTATTTGTCTGGAGTTGAATAACTTCCTAACAAAAAAATTATTACCTTGTAGAGTCATTCAGATTTCAAAAAAAAAACATCATCTCTGCCAATAGCTTTTAATGGATAATATAATTCGAATCAGTTTATTTTTTCTTATCCTCTTCGCCACCGATCGGTCTGCCAGCTGCCCGCCACATCGGTCACGTCTCTGTTACACACTGGGTTGGCAACACTGGCATGCACCGGCTCCTGAATGTACCTGAACTCGCTCCAGTGTTGGTCGTCTTCTTGGAAAGAGCTCATGACTCGGTGCCGTCACAACACTCTCTGGTAGATTGTTCCAAGAGCTTACAACTCACCTGCAAAAGTTTGCCCTCGCAGTATTCTCTGAACTTGGTGGTTTCTTCATTCTTGAGCTGTGACCCCTTAGGGCGAGCGTCCGCCAGCTCCAAGTAAGGACACTAACTGAGTAGTGCCTCTGAGATGCTTATACACCTCAACTAGGTCCCCTGCCCGTCTGTAGTATAAGTTGCAGGCAAGTTCAGGCGGCCCAATCTCTCAGGTAGCTGAGGTGCTGAAGTGCAGGCACCAGTCTGGTGGCCCTCCTTACATTTTTTTCATCGATGATTAAACACCCTAATGCTACTAAGCGTCACATATTACATTATGTAAAGATAAGGTTAATATGAGTGTGTAATCAGCGGGTGAAGTGTTGCGTGCATTGCGTCATTTATAAAGGTAATGAAACTATATTTTCCTTAAGTACTTTACAGGAGATGAAGAGAGACATTTGAATGTCATAAAATATACAGTATATCATAAATATTTCATCACAACACAGGTATCCCGCCATCTTAGTATCATACATTACTGTATATTACTACCGTAACTATAATAGTACAGCATGGACGTCACAGCCCCAGCCACAATCTTTCCAGAGGGTTAAGGAGACGCAGCTCCATATGCGTCCTTCTTCCACGCTGGCTGTCTTTACCATACATTAGTCAAGAAGAAAAATATTATAAGAACACGTATCGCCAGAGAATTCTAAATAGTGACTGGCGATGCTCGTACAGTATGTTTGTGTTCATAGACATTATTGAAGACAGGCAGTAAAGATAACATAGAGGAAGGGACGCCACACTGACACCTATACTCTCATTGGTAATAAACAATAACAAAATGTTCCTTGAATTAATCTATTGAATGAAGTGTCTCTTTAAATTAACTTAACTTTTAGTAATGCCCAGATAGTCAAACAAGACGACATAGGTCTTTCATGCCGCCAATCTCATCGCCTTATCTTTGGTTAACAACTTCGGCGATGGTGACGCGTCTGTTTAGTAACTCTTAAACCTGTGCCTTCCCATACCTAGATCACCCCACACCCACCATATGTACCTGGTCCCTCCTGCCTCACCTTACTAGTTCACCTAACGACGCCTTCTGCATCTACCCCGCCGGTCCTGTAGTGTTGAATACGGTGATGTGACGTTAGCAGCGTGGTTGAGGGCGTGAGACAGACTCAGAGAGGATGGGCTTGGGGTGAGATTTGATACAGTTCTGGCCCTTCCTCCCCGATCTCGTGGCCTCCAGGTTGCGTGAGAGAGGGGCCTGTGTAGGAAGAAAGAGACGTGAACCTGGGGTGTAAACAGAGAGTCGAGTAAACGTGGCTGACGGCTTGTTGGTTTCCTCACAGCAGACGCTCACCGCAGTCCGGGTCTCGTCCCTGTGTGTGGGATAGTTGTTGTGGGGTAATAGTGATAGCTGTAACATTGATACAGTCGCCATATAATAGCACTGGAGATAAATACATAACTATTCCAAAGATGGTACAATAATCACTAGCAAAGGCAAGTAGATTTTTTTTTTAGTTTACGTTATAGTGTGTAAGGGTTGAAGATGAGGCTTCTACGACCTGTACAAGTAAATGGTTGATTTGTTGACGACTTCCGCCAGGTTGTTGAGGTTGTCACCGAGGTCCAGACCGGGAGAACGGCGAATCTGGCCTGGGACGCCGTTCGCCCCAGCGCCGCCAGGATGTTGGAAGTCCCCCCGAACATCGCGTGGCAGCACGTCGAACAGAATCACCCGGAAGGCCAGGAAGGCGATGGACATGGTGGATTGATTGTTGGGGGCAGCCTGAGGTGAAGTGCAGCATTGGTTGCGAAGTGAAAACAATGCTGGAGTATAATACACCAACTAGTAATCCTAAGTTATGAAAAGTCTCCAAATTTAACAACCAAACGTCGCATAATTTTTAGAGTATAAGCTGGTACAAACACAGGTGCGAACTCTAGTATTCACTATTGAGTAAAATTTTAAGAGAAAACATAAACCAATTGTTAAAATAAAGAATGTACTATTATCTGGAGGAAATAAAACATCGTTAGGTTAAAGAAAAAAAAAGACTCCAGTAACGGGAACTTGGCCTCCTGCCACCACTGCTTGCCTCCTTAATGATCCCGTGGACGAGTCGCTGTCTGATGGCAGTCAGTTTGTCTGCTGGCGTCCTCGGTTCTAACACCTTGTTGGTCAACGGCCATACCGCCCTGCTTGATGACCTGTGATAGAGGGTTGACCCTGATATAAAACTTTATTCTAAATATTTTGGTTGTTATCTTTCTTCTATTTTCGTTCCATAACATTTACACTCGGGTTAATATTATAAATAGTAATAAGGTACTATATAAAGGGTTTTCTGTCGATATGGCAAAAGTGTGATGTGTTAGTATGGAAGTCCGCTTTGTCGTTTAGTCTCCGGTACTCCCGACAACTTCGGCCATTTATCCTAAAAGTCAAAACAGTATAGGTTACCTTAAATTAATCCGCATCCATTTTCTTTATACAATAATTTGATCAGTTAATTTTATAATTTTTTTATAAATATTTTCTGCACCATAATTATTTATTTAAATATAAGATCAATGGTGGTTAAATATTTCACATTGTAAAAAATAAACCAAAATAAATGTGTAACTTAAGTATTGGGGTATTTCAAGGCCATCGAGTCTGGGTGAGAATTCTAAAGATGAGGTATTTCATGCATCGAGTCTGGGTGAGAATTCTTAAAGATGACCAACTGACTTGTGTGCACTGCAGCTGGGGAAAACACACACACACACACACCAGTTACATTACAGTCTCAGGACTATATATACGTCATTTCGTCATTCATTCTTAAAGCTTTAATTACTAGTTTTGTCTGTTCTTATACACCAAATAAGGGGAAAATGAATACAGTCGAGAATTAGCTCTCTGAACTGGAGTACATAGAAATCAAAACCTTTGTTGACCAATTATCTCATATATCCGGGTCTTGCCAGTCATGTGAGGAGGTGAGGCAGCCTAGAGACTGCTGTGAGGCAGCCTAGACTGTTGGGTGAGGGGAGCCTAGTGACTGTTGTGAGGCTGCTGAGTGACTGTTGTGAGGCTGCCGAGTGACGGCTGTGAGGCACAGTGACTGTTATGGAGGCTGCCGAGTGACTGTTGTGAGTCTGCCGAGTGACTGTTGTGAGGCAGCCTAGTGACTGTTGTGAGGCTGCTGAGTGACTGTTGTGAGGCAGCCTAGTGACTGTTGTGAGGCAGCCTAGTGACTGTTGTGTGGCAGCCTAGTGACTGCTGTGAGGGGCCTAGTGACTGTTGTGAGGCAGCCTAGTGACTGCTGTGAGGCAAGCTAGTGACTGTTGTGAGGCTGCCTAGTAACTGTTGTGAGGCAGCCTAATGACTGTTGTGAGGCAGCCTAGTGATTGGTGATGGGGCCTAGTGACTGCTAGGAGGCTGCAGTGACTGCGTTGAGGCAGCCTAGTGACTGTTGTGAGGCAGCCTAGTGACTGCTGTGAGGCAGCCTAGTGACTGTTGTGAGGCTGCCTAGTATCTGTTTGGGGAGGCAGCCTAGTGACTGCTGTGAGGCAGCCTAGTGACTGCTGTGAGGCAGCCAGTGACTGTTGTGAGGCAGCCTAGTGACTGTTGTGAGGCTGCCTAGTAACTGTTGTGGAGGCAGCCTAATGACTGTTGTGAGGCAGCCTTAGTGACTGTTGTGAGGCAGCCTAGTGATTGTTGTGAGGCTGTCTAGTAACTGCTGTGAGGCAGCCTAGTGACTGTTGTGAGGCAGCCTAGTGACTGTTGTGAGGCAGCCTAGTGACTGCTGTGAGGCAGCCTAGTGACTGTTGTGAGGCAGCCTAGTGACTGTTGTGAGGCTGCCTAGTAACTGTTGTGAGGCAGCCTAATGAATGCTGTGAGGCAGCCTTAGTGACTGTTGTGAGGCAGCCTAGTGACTGTTGTGAGGCAGCCGAGTGACTGTTGTGAGGCAGCCTAGTAACTGCTGTGTGTCAGCTTTGAGGAGGACAGTTTACCTTTAAGAGCCAGTAGTCTCTCTCCAGCCTCAGTAAGGGTTCTGCCACGCCTCCGCCCCTCACCAGCATCACGCCCACACATGACCACGCCACCCAAACCAACGTCACGCCACCCACTCGCATCCTGTAGGGTTAGGTATATTTTTATAGTTAGGTTGTGGGTGATTGATATTTCTACCCGTAGGTACCAACCTTTTTATACCTGTATATGCACAACTCACCTCAAAAGTTGTTAGGTTAGGTTAGGTTTCCGCTTAGGACAGGTAAGAGACAGTAACCCAAGACAGTTCCGTCGTAGTCACTTTATGTACTCGTGTCTGGTTTAATTTTATTTGCTTGAGACTTGTGTCATGTTTGCTCGGTGGAGAGGTGGTGGTTGGAAGGGATATTATGGGTTAGTTTAGGTTAAGTTGGGCAAAAGTTCTTTCCTCAGCCAGCCACAACGTGACTGAATCACCTGAGGTTCGAATAACAAAGCAACTGAGGAAGTGCTGTAATCGTCCAACAGATGACGCACTGTGTACTGTAGTGTATAACGGGGTAAAGGGGAAGAGAGGAGGGCTGAGGGAAGAGACTTTTGCCCACCATAGTACCAGTACATTAATAGACCTAGAGTACTTTGAGTACGTTAATAATACCTGACAGTACATAGTTACATTTAACTTGTATAGTATTTTAGTAAACTCTTCAGAGTACAGTAATATTACAGATTACATTTAGAGGACCTCAGAGTACTTTGTTAAGAGTACAGTATTAGTAATTTCAAGCGTACATAGAGTACACAGTAGGAACTCAGAGTGCTGGTGAGTTACAACCATTGGACGCATCAGAGAAAGTTGGGGGTCACTCTTCCGTTCTATCCTATTACCTTTAAAGATCAACAGGTGTTAGTTAAGTGAATTATTAGGTTAGGTGAGGAGTGTGTGGCTGTTTAATCATCAAGTGAAACAAGCAGAGAGGGGCTAATCTTCAGGTGATCCTCTTCTCTACAGCCTTCAGTCAAGGCACAATAGGCCTGTCTCACTGAAACATTCATAATCATAAAAGTCACAAGTTATCATGCAGAACGAACATAAGGAAACACTTCTTCTATGAATGTATATTATTCTGTGTGGGATATTTATTCACATGTACTGCACATCTGTGTATGTATACATGTATAACTGCAGGGGTAACTGATATAACATTAAATTAATATACTATTTGTTGCTTATAATTCTAATAATAAAAACAACAACAATAATAAATAAAAATACGATAATAATAATAATAATAATAATGAGATAAAATGCTATAATAACACGTAACCAAATACTACTTTCTAGTTATCAAATATTAAACTAAAATCTAATTATCTCGCTGTAGTATTACAAACATGTCTTACCTTTATAGATAGATTTTGGGCGAATAAATTAAGGAGCAAGGCAACGACACACAAGGAATGCTGAGGATGAACTGAACAATGTCTAACAGTTACCCAGCTGTGAGCGACCGGCCGGAGTATGTTTTTCCCAGGACTAACAACTCTCATAAAAAATCTTATTAACGCATTAATATTAAACTTGAAATTATTATTTGAATTATAACTTGTGTATTAATTTTTGCTTAATGGAACTGTTTATAGTCATGATATTTATTGTTTTTTGTTAATAATTGAATCTTGTCGTAGTCTTTGTACTATGGAGAAAATTAACAGTCCGCTACATTCCCCCAAGCTCAGTGGTCGTTCAACCTCCAGCCATACACAGGTACCATGTAAGTCATCTCAGTTGTCTCAAGAGTACCATAATTGCTTTCGTATACTACCCAGCAGAACCATAAGTAGATGAAGGAACTCTAAGTTAAATAATTTTCTTCAGAATTTGTTTGTATGATGCAAAACTCGAGTTAAAATATGGCGGGAATAAACCTACTCCTATGAGCTATTGTTTATCCATGTTCTTTGCATACTGTAAATTAACCAAATAATTACTTCTAAAAAAAAATATATATATATTTGGTGATTTTTGAGCATTTCTATATCTGTTTATTTATATATAATTATATTTTATTATATTTTTTGTCTTGACGAACAATGGAAAATGAAAGAACCAACATTAACAAGTACATTCAACATTTCCATTAATTTTTGGAGATTTGACCTGTAAATTGGTCAAGACATGAAATTAGGTTCCTAGGTTTATTGTGATATCTTGCCCACTGGGATTTTCCTTGGGATTTATACAAAGGAACTTACACAAATTTATTCTTTATTTACCGATGTTCGTACATAAAGATTTTTTTCTCCAATGGGATGTATTTGCGTAAATGGATAGATATTCAATAAAATGTCATGCTTGTTCATATTTGATTTGGCCTGTTAATTGCAGGTGTGAGGCGCCGTGCCCTTACTGATGCTAAAACTACTTGTAAATTGAAATTGACAAGTAATACCTCGCTTTATATCCTTCCTGGGAATAAAAATCGCGACGAGCGCCAACAGGGAGAGGGTCCGAGGCAGGGCAGCTACTGCGAAAACCGTTAACGCTGTTTCCTTGATTCCAGCTTGACAGGCACTGCACCTCAACAGCCACCGACTCTGTTATTAAGCTGGTTTTACCAATAACAAAATATGTAAGAACGCTTTTGCTCTTTGTTAAGTAATGCCAATACATAGTGGCCGGGACATAAATGGATATAAGCAACAGCTTTCTTAGATTATCTTCGGTCAGGTCGACTATTTACTGTTGTTTGTATATATCTGCACTGTATATAGCTCATATA